CTCTGAGGATCCCCCGCGCAACGCGGGCTCTGGGCTGGATCTGCGGCCGACAGGGCCCCGTAAGCTGACGCGGCTCGCGTGGCCTCGGGACGCCGCGGTCGCCACTGGTGCGATCGCGCGGCCGCCGCCCCGATTAAACTACGTCGAGGAGTCCTTTAGGGTGCTAGGACGACCGTTCTCAGCTTGCTAGGGAAACGGTGTTCACCGCGTCGCGCTAGGGAGCCCTAGGGGGTCCGTCTCGCCCCCCGTCAAAAGCCGGTGTGTGTGTGTGTGCGCGGGGAGGGGGGGGCACTCTGTGCGACGGGGGTGCATTGCGGTTCAAGCATGGCATTTGAACGGGCCCCTGCCCAGGCCCGTGGCCCATGTGTGTGGCGTGGTGGGTTCCGTGAAGGCGACCTGGAAATAGGGGACAGGGCCGGCGCCCGCGTCCGGGGGTCGCCTTCCGAGTGAAGGTGGAGTAGGTGTGTTGTAATAGACGGAGAGTCTTCCTGGACCTAGTGAGGCAGGTCCTCTGCCCGTTCGTCCAGTAGCCCCGGCCCCCGTATACTACGGCAGCTGAGGTACCGTGAGGATAACAGAGACGCCGGTGTACCGCCACTGCGTAGCCTCGATAGTCCACCCTCGGACGGCAGGGCAGCCCCATTAGGCTGCCTCCCTGTCCCGGAGTTCACTATCTCGCTAAGAGGAGGGGGGGATACACTCATGTCCCTCTAACTAGAGAAAACTCTCTACCAGAGGAAGAGGAACTCCAACACAGATCCCCCAACGGCCCGTACCGGCCGGCGCGGGTATAAAGGGAACTAGCTAAGACCGGGGGGCAATACGGTTCAAGCACGACTTTGGAACGAGCCTTTGTCCGAATGGCTTTGCGATTTTTGTTGCATGAAGTTTTGATATGTGTGGCTATCAGCGGAACCCGCTGATAATAATGGTGAAACAAAAGTGCTGCAACAAAAATCGGGTGGCCAGGAAACATTGGTCGAAAGCCTCTCGGACAATAAATTCGTGTTTGAACGGTGTTGCCCCTCGGTCCTAAGCTAGTCCATAAGAAGGTGGGTACTTTGAGTTTAAAGTAACCCCACCGACTAACTACCACCGACACAGCCACACACACCGACGTACCAGGAAAGTAACAAGACAAGAAAGAATAGGGAGATATCCAAGAAGAGCCCATAAGAAATAGCCAATAACTAGGACAGCAGCGAGCCTTCCCCGCCATTCTGCCTTTCGGACAGTCCACGTAACTCTCGCAGTTGCCCCTGCGAGCTTGCAGTTTGCAGCCTGCCCTAGAGGCGCGCCAGTTCAAGTAGAAGCACCCGGCCCTTGGGCTTCCCAGGGAGCAAACTATCGTTCTATCCGCCACCGCCTGGGCCCGACCCACCGCGAAGTCCATTGCGTGCACAACGACCATATGTTCTTTGATTATCCATAAACACCAACAGGCGTGCGGGTGCAAGGGAGAGAACACGTTTTGGTTTCGACACTCTTGGCGTCTCAGCTAGACATATAGTTCAGATTGCCGTGTGACGCCAAGGAAGCTTATCAGGGTTTAGGTCACCAAATTGCATGTGGTCTCTGACACTCACAGAGCCTAATCTTATGCATCTGGCCTTGTCGAGCCAGTCAGGGTGGTGCTTGTAGAGGCATCGTGTCGTGCATTCATCTCGAGTGGTATCACACTTACAGTCCGATCTTTCAAGGAAGTATGTGGGCATCGATGAAAAGGCAAGCTTGAGATGTACGAAGGCCTGAAACCAGCCATCCTTGGCAGTGTTGCCCAGGATGAATTGAGACGAGTCTAGGCCGTCTAAGTGATTGTGGCAGGTATCAGTGGTTGGCACTACTTGACCAGTCTCGAACCAAATTGCATCGATGCCACGTTGGACAATCTGATGTAGCTGTATATTTTCATAAAGAATAGTGGCACCCGCATCAACCCACGCCACATAATCACAGTTCTCATGCTCGAGAGCATACCAAACTGTGCAGTATTTCAGTGCTATGGTAGTTTCCGCAATGGACAGTTCAGACGCCAACTCAGGGCAATATCGGTTTTGTAAGCTATCCATGTCCTCAGCCTCAAGCACCAATGGCGTATAGCCGTGCCGCTCTGCATACTCCCAGGTTGGGCCGACATCAACAGCAGCAAGGCTGCGGTATTTCCCCACCGCTGCATACCCAACGCAGAAGTGCATATCGTGCGCCTCAGTTGAAGCCCAACCGAATAGCATTTCTCTTAGCGATGCCGAACCAAATCTTAGCGGCCAGCCTCTACGCATAAGGCCATGCTTACCCTGTGACATTCTTTCTCGTCTTGTATCGCATAGCAGGATTGCCATGCTCAACACGCCCATGGTGGCGATCAAACAAAGAAACAACACACTCCGGCCAGCTCCCCCCCGCTTCCGGACTAGCCTGGTCTGCTCCATCGGAACTGAATGGGTTTTGGAGAATAGATGCCAGGAACAATCCATTGGTTCGGAATTGTGTGATGTCACACCAAATTGCATTTAGGAATACAGACAAATTCTCAGACATATGTCTTAGTAAGACGACGCGCGCACGAATTCGCGGACGCTGAGCCTCACCGCGCGGTTAGTCGGAGATAAGAAGGTCTCCAGACCCGCCCCCGGGGCCCCGGTCGCCGCCCATAACGTGCGCAGGACGTGCTTCAACGCGATTCAATTTAGCGTCCGGTGGTTAGAATGAGATTACAATTGTAGTGTTCACGCGCTTGGAGCAATCTTTGACAGTCAGGTCGAGACTTGCCTTTTCTCGTGAGATAATTGCCCTGCCTGCCCCGTGGTTTCTGGCACCGACAGGGCTTCAAGGCCGACGGGCCGCGCTTGGATGGCGCAGCCACCTCAGCGCATCATGAGTGAGAGAAGGACCACCGGGAACATCACCATCGGCGAAAGTAACCTTGGGAGTCTTCGGCGGAGATAATGCCAGGGGAGGTGGCATTGGAGAGTCAGATAGACCAGGTTGGCTGGTGAAGAGATCGAAGTAGAGACCGGAGGAGGTCTAATAGCTAGGGTAGGACTATTGCCAGCGGTGCTAGACCTACTTGCGAATCGGTATGGTGTTGAATTCGGAGTAGGTGACTCTGTGGGGCTACGTAATGTCCTTTCGGTTGTTTGCGTGGTTTTGAGTGCGGGGACCGCACGAATCAGCTGTTGGAGGTGTGGAGGAATTGCTGTGGCTTAGTGGCTCGCTGCTAAATCCCCTTACAGCTCCTTTTTCCTTTCTTACTCACTCAACTTACTCAAGCGACCGGGGGTGGAGAGCCCCCGATCCCATTAGCTTACGGGCCTGAGTAGGTAGCCTGCCTAATTATTACCATATCCTAGTCCTAGAGTCGGGCTGGGGGTAAACTTCCTTTATACGCAGTGGTTGAGGCCCTTGTTGAAGTGCAAGGTTGGGGGTTGAAGCCTAAGTCGAAGCGGCGCCCGTTTGGTATGCTCGTGGGGATGCTCCCTTGTTTCCTCATGTCTCCTTGCTTGTTAAGATCCGAAGCTCTCGCTCGCCTCTATCGCTCACAAACCCCCTGGGCCTAGCTGCCACGAGCGGCTGCCACGGTGCTTGGCTATCTGCGCATGTCGGTAGCTTGCCCTGTGCAGTTAGCCTCATCCGCCCAGTATGGCGGGAACATGGCATAACCTACATTCTGATTTGAAGCAGTGCCTAAAGTAATACACGGGTCAAATTCACAATTGAAGAGAAGGCGGAGATCTTCTTCGAGAAGGAGGAGGGCACGAGGAATGTGGATCCAGTGCTGCTTGTAGTTGGAGTACTTCCTGAGTCGACCGGTGCATTTGTACTTTGCACTGATGAAGTCTGTATCTACCAAGCCTGAGCAACACATGGCTGCGGGCGGCAAGAGGAAACTTGGTAGCCGCATCACTCCGTCACGGGTATGTTGAGTAATGGATCTTGCCGCCGTCGCATCAATGTCTCTAGCAACAGATTTATATGGACTGTCAACTGGGCTGCTATCCCGACGTCCACGCGAATTATCCTGGCCAACTATCGCCGAGTCTTTGTTGGGCTCATCCTCAATGCATATCGCAGAAAATGTGTAGGCTTTGAGATAGAGGGCCATATTCGCATCGTGGAATGAGTTTTTTGCTGCGAGAAGTTGATGGTATTCGCCATTTTTTGCCCTTTCCCACCTGTAAGTCAAGTCAGTCAGGACCGATCCGCGGAGGTCAGATGGGCACAGGCGAGCAACGGTCTGGCAGCGAAGGATGGCCAAGCCAATCCCTGCGGTAGTCTACCGGATACCGTCCGTGCTATTACATTTTCATTCCACTCAATTGAAACAGAGTTGGCCGGATCAAGCGCGCGCTTTACCCGCTTCTTGCACGCGTCGAAGTGCCTTGCTAATTTTTTATCGCTCTCGCAGCAGCATATAAATTGGCCCAACCTTGATTGTTCACTCAATGATCTTGCCCACGCCTAGCTGGAAGCTCAAAGGACATGTGCACGCGCAGGTGACAAACAAACTCAAATACGGACACGGAACAGACCGCATCCAAATTCGCTGCTAAGGTCACTGCGTCTAACGCACCACTGCCCAGTGCCGACTGCGCGAAGATATGCACACTCTCACGTACATCTTGCCAAAAGGCCTTCGCTGCACGTACCGTTGGTAGAGTAACCTCGCCCCTGCACGTCTGGTCCTGCGACCTGGCATTTTTCACGAGAGGCATCAGTGCGAGTTGTAGGAAATTTCAGTCCACTTTGCCCGGTCAAGTCCCGTCCAGGATAGCATCATACCGCGCCAGGCAGCTCATGATTTTACACCTGGGTTAGGCCCTCGCCCGATTGCAGAATTAAATCTCGGAGCGGCATTGGGCAGATGATGATATATATATCCCAAGACCCTTAAGATATATATATATCCCAATGATTTGACTCCAGTTCCCGTCCACTTTTTAGGTGGATTTATATTCCCCGCCTATTAGAGTGACTTAACTAGACTTGCTTGACTTTCCTTTATAAACGTCACTAAGCTGGATACATATCCAACGAGCCTGAGGCTCGCTGTCTCACGGCGGGTAAAATAAGGGCACTACTGGAGATACAAGCCAACTGCACTGCCAGATTCTTGCTAGGCTAGGCGAGCTACCTTAACCAATTATCCCGCCACAACAGCCTTCTGTCTGATACCTCATCCTCTAGGGGTCATCCAGCAGAATCCACCATTCAGCGCACAAAAAGATACATTACATTTCGTGCTCGTCGGAACGACAAACCCTGGGGGTTTCAAGAATCTTGACAAAAAGCTACGTTGATGCTTGAACGATGATCGACGACATTCAATCAAACGAATGGCTCTCGGGCTAGCTAAGTTGATGCGCTTTGAGGCGCGCTGCGATGGGATGACCGTCTTTGAGAGCCCGCCGCTCCGCGAATATGCCGAATTGTGCAACGATCCCAGCGGCTGCGAGGTCCGCAAGGACAAGGTTGAGGCACGTGCGAAGACGCGACGCTCATACGACCGCGCGGGGACTGGAACGGAGAGGTAGAAG